AGAGCCGACTTGTGAACGCTTCAGTGTCTCATGCCGGCTCTAATTATTGGGATGAGTGTATTTCACCCATCCCATATTTCTCCTTTTAAAGTTGTATAGACACAGGTCCACCCAGTTTGTGTGTGTGTGTGTGTGTATGATTTAAGAATTTCAGTACCCTTGTATATTGTCCCCTTACCCCTATATATTGTATTCCCTGAGGAAGACCTCTAGATGTTTTTTGGATGTGTCTATACCCTTAGCTGATACCACTACCTGTGAAAAAGAGTTCCACAGCTTTACTGCTCCAATAGTAACGAATACCCTACGCAGTTTGAGATTAAACCTATTTTCCTCCAGTCACAGGTGTTGGCCTCTTGTTTATAGGGACCTTAGAGCAAACAGGTTGTTACTAATTCGACCATCCCTATTTAACAATTCGTACATTGAGATCATATTCATATTGTAAAGAATCTCTTCTAATTAACCAGAGTGGTACATTTTAAATCCCTTTGTTATTAATGTGGAGAGGTTGAGTGTGTAAATAAACATGTGATATGAGTGATGAACGATCAGCTCCCTATCTGGATTTGCCCCACAATCATCCAAACAATGGCATTCATTTTCTGATCGCGGCTAGCAATCCGCGCAGTTTTGAGCCGTGTTTCCGCTGGTCCAGTTATGCACAAACATGGCTGCAAAAAACGCGGGCCGCTCATTGCACAAAAAGGTGCCGTCTGGGTATGACCCCATTGAAATCACGCACTCGGGCTGCCCATATGTGAACCAGGCCTAAAGTGTGCATTTGCCACACATTCATCAAGCATTCATCACTCAGTGAATTAATATTTTAGGCTAACTAACTGAACACACTTGTTCCTTGTGCGCCTGGATTCCACCAGATTTTCTAAATATGCCATTCCGAATTCACACTATGTGGTATATTTTCTGTGGTCTTCTCTGTCTGCTTGCACTGAAAAGTGAATCTACAGCTGTAAATAATTGACTAAATGGCTGTTTATAATATTATATTATCAGATCTTTTTTTTATCTACCGGAGAGTTTGTTTTGTTTTTTCCTTTTTTTTTTCTCTCTTAGAAACTTTGATGGTGATTGAGTAGACAGGAATATAGATATATTTGTCGCAAATATATAGAATTAGGATGTCAAGTGACAACATAGAAATGTAAAACCTGCCATAAACTGGTTAACACTATTGTGCAGTATTCTACTTGTATATGAAGCGAGCTGCATGGACCGAAAGCAGGGGAGTAACTGCGAGTGATTGGAATGGTTAAAAGCTTTCATATTCTTCTAAGGCAGAGATTAGTAGAGAAAACCCCTCAAAGGCAGTAATGGGAGATCACCCACGTGTAGATTTGCATGTCAGGTAATGAGAAAGCTAATTTCGTATACCAAACAATTAATTGCTTTAGTGTATGACCAGCTTAAGTGACAGAGCAGTACTTGGGAGAAAGCATAGTACAATCTCCCCAGAAGTTGCTGTTCCACGCTAAAAGCTTTAGGAATTTGGGCTAAGAAAGGCTTGGCAGTTGGCTCCGTAGTTTATAAAATGTGTTCCTAAGAAGGAAACGTGCATAACTTGCCAGCTCTTTCTTGAAATAATAGTCTTTAAATAGGAGCAGCCAATGGGAGATTTGGACATGTGATTACACTGTATGTGCTGCTTGGCATTTTAGGAGTGCCTTAATCCTTGTTAGCATGAGATATCTGTGCAGAGAATGCTGTGGTTAGTCCATGACAGCATCTCCCCATCCGTGTTTTATTCCAAACTTCCCCGGCAATGTGCAGAGGAGCTGGCTGCTTTATTATGCCCCTGGTGGCCCATTCTTGTATTTATACACACTTCCTGCCCTATCCCAGGAGCATAATTATTTCTATTACAATATGCTACAAAGGCTTATCTGGCCCGATTAACTCAGCACTTGCTTTCTTTTAATAAGTGCTTATTTATGAACTGTTAAGCAATTGCCTTTTTAAGGTAGAGCCGCATCAAACAATATGTATTTGGTCTGCTGCAAAATAATTGCACTGTACCTTGAAACAGCTAAGCAGATAAACGCACTGAATGCTTCTGCATTTCTTTAACTTTTGAGGTTGAGCATATTCAGTCTAGTCACTGCTTAAACTTTTACTATTATTTAATTATGGAATATATTATGGTTTAAATTCTGTGTTTCTTGAGATACTTATGATGGAAAATATTGCTGCTTTCATGGAAATAAGGGCTTATGATTTTTATTTCCAGTGATTTTTTTATTTTTTTTCCCTCCTAGATGAACTTCAATAACGTAGGATTTTTTTTTCTTCTTAAAGGAACACAATAACAGGGAAATATTTGACTTGACCTGTGTTTTTGCCTATGATAGGAAGATTCAGGTTAGTTATTTCTAGGACACATTGCTTAAGTTCCCCTTATCTGTGCTTTGTACTTCAGTAAAGTCGCACTTTATGGTCCTTCTCACACTGGCCAGAGCCCTACGACTCAATGGCCATTGTCAAGTGATGGGAAATCCCAAATTATATTATTGTCACTAGAAAAGGAGGTGAGGAGAAATCTTTCAATGGGAACTTCTGTTCCTATGTCTCAAAATAGATTACCCTTCGCTTTGTACTCATTTCTTCTCACTTCCTCTTGTGTCTCTGGGACAGGAAGTGAGGGGAAATCTTTCCAATAGGACACGGCAATAAAACCATTACATACTCAATACAAAACAATGGCTTTCAAAACACTAAGTTTTTGGAAACAATCGTGTACTGGTGACAACGTAGGAGCTGTATTTTTTGTATCCCAAAAGAGCTTAGGAAGAGTTTAGTCATGTCTTGGGATGCAAGGTGCAGACCAAAAAAACAAAACAATTGTAGGCTAAAATTGCAGTTCTGTTTTTAATCTGTCACAAAGTAAACCATGTGTGATTTTTCTTAGGGAAGAATAGTTATCTGCTGCAATTACGTTTTTATTAATTGGTGTGTCTTTGTGAAAATTGAAAGGTTCTTTAATTGCATTGGCCACCAGTGGAACTCAAAGATTGTGCAAAATATATCCTTGAAGTGGGGCTACCCCTGCACCGCAAAGATTAACTGCTCATGTTGTCTAGGGGGCAAAAATAAAAAATAAATATTCACCCGATACTCCCGTCCTGCCTGGCTGCTAGACCAGTCCCTGCAGCCTCTTCTCCCCGGAGCTCTGGTGGTCTAAGGACCAGACATTTTGTCACATATAATACAGGTCTATTAGACATGAAGACACCGGACATATCACAACCAGAGTGGAGGGCAAGACCGGTGAGTGATCACTGCCACAGAACCAAGGATTGGATTAGTATTTCTTCTTTACTCCGTCCCCTAGAGAAAAATTAGCAGTTTAACCCTTGCAGTGCGGAGGTAGCCCCCCTGCAAGGGCCATTTTTTTTAATATCACTTTTGTTTAAGTGACATACATAGATTCTCTATGGAGGTGAATTACTGTCCACCCACCTCAGACTACCGCTTTTAAGAGTGTGTTATAAGGGGTATTATATGGTGTCCACCACTGACCATTAGAGCTGCTGTCTGTAAATAGAGATATATTAATGGCCACAAGCCACCAAAGGCAATCTAAATAGGGGTAAAATTATTGGCCACCTACCGCTGAGGCCGAGGGAGTCATTAAAGTCTGCCTGATGTTTAGGCCTTGTTCACACCGAATGTGGTTCATTCCAGAGCGGTAGCTGCTGGAACACACCGCAATCGCTCACAAAACTTCCCCCTGCGTTCTGGGGCGGGAGGGGGTGTGGCAGTGCATTGAATTCAATGGCACCGCTTCCACGCCCCCCTGCCCGCAGTGCGTTCAGACGCGTGGCAAAACTTTGCCTGCGTTCCGTTCCACTGCAAACGCAAAAAATAGGGCTTGCTCTATTTTTTGCATTTGCAGTGGAATGGAACACAGGCAAAGTTTTTCCATGCGTCCGATCGCACGACGGGGGAGGCATTGAATTTGTTTGCAAAAAAAGTTCCTCCGGCGCTAAAAGCCAGCAACTATTTCAATCTTCAATTAGACTGGCCCCAGGGGTGCTTCTGCTCCTCAGATCAGAAAGCTCTCATCCACACATGGAAAAAAACTCAAAAAAGAGCGCCCACCCTGTGCAGTACTGATTTAATATTTATTGATAGCTTAAAAAGAAAGGGGGACTCACAAGTAGCAGTATTAAACACTCATCAATTGACTCCAGGGATAAAATCATGATTGGTAACAAATCCAAACAAATTGCCTCACTGCTCAGTTGGAGTTTACACAGACGCCGACATCAGCTGTGAATGCGAAGGTTGATGCGTTTCTTGGGGCACGCCACTTTCATCAGAACCTAGTGCACAAAGAATGCTAGCCGACTAAGACTAGACTGCAACCAATCAGATTCCTGACAGCCAAAGACGATATATATATATATTCTCATATCTTCATGGTGGTAAATTTGGCGTGCTATGTTTGCAAATATACTTGTTTTGTTTTTTGTCAGTTGCCAATGCTTTTTATCTCCTTAAGGAGAATGTTCAAGAATATTTTATTGCTTTTTAATCTTGTAAATTATATATAAAATACTGCGAATAGGTATTTCATATTTGTCACTTTTAGCCAGCAGGTAGTGAGAATGAGATAACAGAACCCCTTCCCTCTCCCAGTTAATAGGAGCAATCAACAGGTGCAGAACTAGTGCTGGGCTTTCCTGTTAAAAAGCATAGCATGCCCTGCAAACAGGACATGGAAACTCCCCATACTAAATCATGGATGCACCCTGTACTGACCTGTTTTTATATGTAAAATAAGGGTATTTACATTTAAAAAAAATGTGTAAGTGATCAAAAATGAAATTGGCCAAAAACCTATGATCATTTCCCTTTTTTAAATGCCTGTTTATTTTCTTTTGTTTTTAGTATTTATGTTTTGTCTTTTTCATTCATACTGATTTTTCCCCCCCCCCCCACTAAACAAGTTTTCCCCCCCCCCCACTAAAACAGTTTGGAATTCCTGAAAAACATCAATGTGTGGCCCTTGTCGATGGATGTAAGCAATAAGTATCTGGAATTACTTTGGTGTGTTATTTTCTAACCTGAATTGTTGGATTGAGCGGCTAGCACAGGATCAAACGGTAAGTCTTACTATATTTCACAAACATTACTGCATAGTGTGTGTGTGTGTGTACAGTGGTGGTGCTGAGGCGGTCTTATTTATGTTCTTCTATATCTGGCTATACATTTGTCTCTGTGATCCACTAGTGTTCAGAATAAATGTGTCATCTCTGCATTTTCTCTCACAAAGCTGAGGTCCGAATAGCTGAATTTTTAGTTTTGGAATGTTCATGACTTTTTCCTGCAGCTTAAAACTTTTCCTTGGAATAATCTGGGGGATTCTTCACACAATAAATTGTGGGCATATTCACTTAAATTATCTAATCATGTGCAGATAAAATGGGTAACCAGGAATTTTCTTCCCATGTGATTGGATAATTAAAGTGAATCTTTATACATTTCATTGTGTGAACTTTCTTTAAGACTTCATTAGGTCAACCTCAATGTGTAAACTTGGCATGGATGTAACAAGGTAAACTCTTTGCTCGATGTGTACTGTATTTTAATCACTTCTGTAATCCCCTCTAGCGGTCTTTTTTTATTTTAAGTATTTTCTGCTTCTGCGTGTTTTAGACCTCAAAATCTAGATGTGCAGAAAATGTACCTAATTGGACAGCTTGAGATTTCTTTTTATCACTATGTGACAGACCCATTTTACTGTGTATAAGACCTAAAAAATATAAAAAGTTCTTAGCACAGTGCACTGTGCACAGTGGGTGAGCATGCTTTGTGTCAGTAAAGGGTCTGTTCTTCATCTTTTACATTTTTTGTTATTCATAAATACAATTCACAGGAAATCCTAACCTGGCATGTAGAAAGGTGGAAACTGAAGTTACTGCACAGCGGTAACATTAGTCAGCCAGTGTTGATGTGTTTCCTAATTTTGTGTGTTTGTACCTAAGATTAATATAGAGCCAGTATTGGACTCTTGCTCACATGGAGTTATTTACAATAAATAAGCAATTCAGAGTGATTTTGACTTGAGATTCTAATTTGAACAGCAATGCTTTTAATCTGATCTAAGGCCTGGTCATTTAAACACAGTCTCAGCCACTTTTAATGGGCCTTTATACTTGCTACAAAATGGTGTCAAGGACTGATTGCTTTTGCTAGAATTCAGCCTTTACACTTCCTACAATACACAATGCAGCTGTTGCACGCTCTTCATGGTATCTCCCCTTGGCATCACTGCTGCTGTCTCTTGCTCTTTGTTTTGAAACAGTGACGTTTCTTGGGCAACACTGGTGTTTGAACAGGAGACCGTGTCTGGCAGCCTATCTCATGTACCAGTCAGTGAATAGGAGCCTTTTAACCCTGCCCGGATTACCAGTGCCTAGCTTGTACTCTGATGTGCGGCCTCTGTGTTTCAGCTTGGCTACTTAAAAAAATCTTTCTAGAACAATTGCCTCCACAGTTTTAGAGTGCAAATACAACATTTGCTTACTCTGCAGGCCTGATACTAAAACCATGCAAATTCAAATGTATGAATATCTTACCTCCTTACCATCTTGTCTTAAATTGTATTGTGACTGTAATGTCTTCCTTATATTGTAAAGCGCTGTGCAAACTATTGGCGCTATATAAATCCTGAATAATAATAATAATAATAATAATATCTTTGTCTGAATAAGAATTTCTTGTTGTGCAAAAACTATTCTCATCGTATGGTTTTGGGTTTTGGTTCAAGAACCTTAATATATTTGCTCCATTTTGGCCTGCTGACAAGTCGTGGCTATAAAGTGCTCTACACATGTCACTCTATGTTTAGGCCAAACTCTAAAATAATGCTAAAAGGAAGCATGAACTTTTATTGATCTGGTTCCTCACCATAGCAGTTTTTTTTTATCCCCTGCTTGGATCTGAGCATTATCAATTTATTGGAAGGGTCTGCAGAGGTCTAATCTGTGCCTTCTGTAAACAGTATGATGGCATCATGGGCAGTGCCAACTGATCTGAGATATTGATATGGCCCTAAGAGAACAGAAGTACCTTTTGGGCACTCTTGATAGTGAATGGTTAGGCTATGTTTATTGTGCCAGAGGAGTGGTCAAAGTATGGTATTGGATAAATGAAGCCATTACTGAGAGGTTTGAGGTTGCCATTGACGTCAGAACTCCAGAAATATAGACAAATTCATCCAGCACCTGACCCAGATGGCCACTGGTGGGAAGTGCACAAAGCTACTGGCGATAATGTATTCTAGTTAAAAAAATAGAAACAGCCTGCACCCCATAATGAGCCTTAATTGTTTTATTGAGAGCTCAACAAAATAAGTCACAAAGAAAAAGTACCAAGATGTTCCTCCAACCCCGTGGCAATTGATGGGTACCTTTTTAGGTGTCCAAACGAAGTAACATTTCTGCACCCTGTTGAGCATTTTTATTCTTCAATCCATTCTTCTTATTCTGTGGTTAAAAGAATACTATAGGGAAACAATGGCTGGTGATCAGTTATCTTATCTGACAGCGATTCTTCATCATTACCCCAGTCTGGTGAGCACAGATCTGGCCTAGAAAGCAGTTATGCTCATCCAACAAGTAGCAGAGTAATGCTTTGACAAGCAAAGTATATACATCGCTGACCAAAATGGCAAAAACAGTTATATATATATATATATATATATA